CGGTAAATGTAAAAATACATAAAAGCAATATATGAGTGTTCCAAATGGAAGGAACATATTTAATGAATCAATTAGAGATAATGAAATGCTGGACATAAATTGGTATATATACATGAAGATGGATAAAATCATAATAGTATATTGACTACATATGGATAACCAATACTAGATAGGTACCATATAGGTATAGTGTCAATCCATCCTTCTAGGAGAAAACAGGAGAAAAAATAATAGTTAATATATACAAAATAGATAATAAATAAATAAATGAATAATCCCTGGTGGTAGTCTGTAACTATAAATAAAGGTGAAAAAAAAAAAAAAAAAAAAAAAAAAAAAAAAAAAAAAAAAAAAAAAAAAAAAAAAGGGACTATAAATAAAGATGGAAAAAAAAATAAAAAAAAAAAAAATTATAAAGATATATTATCTGGCTATAATAAAACCTTCCTGTAGTACCCTTCATCAAGTCTCGACTGATGTTTGGGTATGTGAGCGACGAACTGCTGGATTTATTCTCACGACTAACTTGGATTTCGGGAAAGTACAAATCAACGTACTATGCGAACGGGCTATAATCACTAATTCCCTAGCATTTCAGGAGTTAATGAACGGAGTATACGAAATACAAGGCTTTAGTTACAACGCCTTTTAAAAAATTATTTAGCATTTCTTGTTTAGGGTGATTATGTGCTAAAATCATTTAAAATTAGGCACACCCCTAAATGTAACAAAAGGTTTATCTGGTATAATCCCTTTCAGGCCTTTATCTTTTTTCAAGATGAGCCAATGTCTATTTACAATCACCTAATTTCTCTGGACATATTATTTATATCAAACACCAATGGTATAAGTCCATTGTCCTCTTTTCCGTTACCAGCATGTCTTGCACTGAAATGAGGTCACTTTGATTGTGTTTAAGAACCTTATTATTTGCTTCCGTTACAAGTTTATCGGGGTATTTTTTCTCTGCAAATCTTTAATTAGGACCTGAACCTGTTACTTAAAAACACCATTATTTGTACAGTTCTTACTAATCCTTTATAATTGGCCTTTTGGGATGTTATTAAGCCATGAGGTATAATGGCCACTATTATATAATAGTTATAGGCATCCACTTTTTGAAAAACATTTTTTTTTAATTCATCTTCCTCAACATAAATCTCCAGATCTAAAATTTTTTTATTTTTATAGTATTGTATTCACTAGTAAGGCGAATACTCCGATTATTCATATTTAATCATTTAAAAAACAATTCATGTCACAGTAGGTGACCAGGTTCACTTCCCATTCTGGGCTGCCATAAATACATTTAGTCTCCCAGCCCGCCATAAACAAATTGGCATAGCTAGGTGCGAACCTGGCCCCCATAGCTGTACCTTGGCGCTGTAGATAAAATCTAGAGTTAAAAGCAAAATAATTATTATTTAAAATCCATTTTATTCTTTCCATTAAAAATTTAATTTGCTCAAAACACTCTTGTACTATTTCATACCCCAAGTTATGTGAAATAGAGGTATAACGTGACGATACATCACTAGTGACTAACATATACACAGCTTCCCATTTAACATTCCTTAAAACCCTAATTATCCGTGGTGCCATTTTATGTATGAGAGTAAAGTCTTTACCAGCTCCTGTAAATAGATGTCCACATATTTTGATATGATTGCTGAGACAGAGCCATCAATGGTCTAACCAATGGTCTATGTTGCTTTCTGGGGGTTTCTAGATATATAAATATTTATAAATGTTATAAAAACCTCAAGAGTCAGTTATGACAATACTAAATTAAAGATCAGTAAAATATATTTTAAATAAATAATGTTTATTGTTTGGTTACATTGTTTTGCATTTTTTATAGATCCCCACTTTCTCCATGTGATACATTTACCCCACATACCCCACCATACTTATGCTTATGTTTTAACTTCTGTGATCAACTAGTCAGCACATTATTGCCATCATCACATTGTTTTGTATGTGGTTTCAATGTTCTAAGTATATTGCCTCCTTGTATTATCAGATTGCCCATTTCTTGCCATATTGCCCATTATGTTGGTGTATTGACCCCACACCCCATGTTTTTGTCATACTGCCCTCACATTGCCCCTTATGGCATGTTGTCCAATGTATATTTACAGCCAAAAAGGCACACACATTTGAAAAAGCAAATATTCATTGTTAGACACATGCACACAGCGATAGAAGGATAGAGTCACGGGGTCAAAGAGATACTTCCTACACAGGCACAATAGACACAGGGAGACACATAGCTTTATTTGCCTATTTCCATAGCCATCATGCTCCAACAGGTGCAAAAATTGGTTTTAATTTATTCGTCTGAATAAAGTGCCCGGTACTTGTTTAACAAACTGATTCTGAAATTCAGAAATTAACCAAATCACCTGAATCAAATTCCCTTTTCAGTGCATGGAATAGAAGTATTTTAATTCGGACTTGCTTTCGGAGTAGTAAGCCCATCTCTGGCAGTGTCATTGGGCATGTCAGTTCTGTGCATGTTTGGCATGCATGCTGATGGCAGCCAACCAATGACGAACTCCCTGACATGCACATGTCCAAAACGCGAGAGGTAGTGGCGTCAGTGACGGAGGACTAAGCTGCAGGTAGTGGGTTTTAGCTATATTTTCTTTTTGGAGGGGGTTGGTTTTTGGTTGGAGTACCCCTTGAAAAGATTTGTGATTTTTAAAACTGATTGTTTTTATAATAATTATTATTTATAATTATTGTACAAGAATTGGTGAATTTGAATTTCTTCTGCAGACGGTACGTGGCTGTCTTGCTCACTTATTTGTATAATTACACCATCTATAAATTGATGCCGTCTGTTTTATTATCTTTATTTTGTTTTGTTTTATAGAGCTAGGCTATTCAATTATAATTCTTTGTAATATCAGCAGGAAAACATACCCTGATTTACTGATTCCATTCAGTCTTTAATCCATTTTCGCCATATGTCTTTTTATACAATATAACATTAAAATGGTTTAAAATTTCATCATCTGAAAGGAGCGAATATTGACAAGGCAACGCTCAGTCTTTTACAACAGACAGTGAATAGCAGTGTGAGTCACCCAAAAAAAAAAAAAAGATTATACAATTCAATTAACCTTGTAATATCTACCTCCCTGATTCACCCTGCTATTCAAGAGAGCACATATGTGATTGCCGTTTAATTGTCTATGTGCTATTATGGCAAATTACCTCGCTGTGAAAGTTCACCGTTACAAAATGTATTAGATTTTTTATAGCTGAAAAAAAAAACAATGGCCTCGGTATCAAATAATTTAACAATTATTGATAAACTTTTAAAAGTATTTTATCAAAGTATTAAAATATCAAAAATATATTACATGTAAAAAAGAAAAATCGATATATCAAAAACTATCAAAATATTAAATTATTTTTCAAAATATTAAATCATTTTAAAAGTGTATCCAACAATATCACATTGAAGCCAATGAAAGAAAGGAAACAGACTCATTTTATTTTTATTCTTTTTTTTACATTACTGAAAGTCTTAAACTTTGCTCACTCCAGGAATTAGCTTGTCCAATCAGGAGCCTCTTATTTTAGTCTATTGAGTCTGAACTGTTGCTATTTTACTATATTAATCATCTCATCAAGTTTTGAAAAGAAATAGATTTTTTAAAATTGATTAAATGTGAAAAAAATGTGAAAACCACATCCAATACCTTTAGTATATAATGGGATCCTTTAGCCATATACATACAAATAGAGTTACATAATAGACACTGAAACAATTTTAGCTTAATGAAGTAGTTTTGGTGTATGGAACAAGCCCCTGCAGTCTCACTGCTTAATTCTCTGATGTTTAGGAGTTAAATAACTGTTTATACAGCCCTAGTCACACCTCCCTGCATGTGACTTACACAGCCTTCCTAAACACTTCCTGTAAAGAGTAATCTAATGTTTAAACTTCTTTTATTGCAATATCTGCTCAATTTAGAATATCTTATCTCCTGCTCTGTTAGTAACCTTTTAGATCCTGCAGCTGCCTCCTGTGTGTGATTAAAGGACAATTTACAGAGAAGGAAATAAAAACCTTTTAAAGGAAGTTAATAACTGATTGAAAATGAAACCTATTTGCTTCATGCAGGCTTTGTCAGTCAGAGCCAGGGGAGGTGTGGCTAAGACTACACAAACAGAAACAAATTGCTTTAACTCCTAAATGGCACTGAATTGAGCAACCAGACTGCAGGGGCATGATCTATACACTAAACTGCTTCATTAAGCTAAAGTTGTTTTGATTCCTATAGTGTCGTTTTAATGTTTGATTTACTAACCTCCTTTGCATTAGTACAGTAAGAGGAATGAGACCCAAAATCAGTGATTGCTTTAATTAATCTGGAAGAACTCAAATGGTTGTTTGTCATTTAGCTAATTGATTGAGGTGAAAGCTTTATAACTAGATATGTACATATTAACATAATAAACACTATGGTCTGATTGTTTGTTTAAGTTGTTTAACAATATCCATAAGGAAGGGCTTTGTATAATTTATATGGGATCTGAAAACAAAACTGTAATCAAACTTTAAATTCACCTACTGCTCGCCTCCAAATACTAGAGCTGTTTATACGGTTTAGTCTAAGTGATATATGTCCAAGGATTTCTTGATTATTCCTCATTTTATTCCTTAAATTGCTTCTCTAAGCAAGCTAACACGGTCCAGTGAATCTCGATACATCAAAAAGAAATGCTGATTATGTTGAAAGACTTCAAATACAGCGTGAATAGTAAGCGATCCAATTTGATTTTCTGGAGATGTATATAGGACCACGACTATTTATTGAATGTACTCAGTTAGAAGCATTAAAAGACGATTTATTAGGAGAAAAAGGAATCCAACTGCAGAATACGAGGCCAAAATAACAATTATTTAAAACTGTAAGATTTTCGTGAGGACATTGGATTCTTTCTTTGGATTTCCCACACAAATTATGAAAACCAACAGAAAATTACTGTGCAGATATCGTTAACTGCATTTTTAAAGTTTTGTTAGTTTTGAAGGCTATTTGTTCGGCTTTGAAGGCAAAAGCCACTATATATTTGCAGGCTAGCGATCCCTCATTAGTGGCCATCTGCCTGTCGTTAGCCATATAGAGGGCCATCTGCCTGTCGTTTGCCATATATAGGGCCATCTGCCCATTGCTAGTCATATAGAGGGCCATCTGCCTGTTGTTTGCCATATATAGGGCCATCTGCCTGTCGTTAGCCAGATATAGGGCCATCTGCCTGTCGTTAGCCAGATATAGGGCCATCTGCCTATCGTTAGTCGTATATAAGGCCATCTGCCTGTCGTTAGCCATATATAGGGCCATCTGCCTATCGTTAGTCGTATATAAGGCCATCTGCCTGTCGTTAGCCATATATAGGGCCATCCGACTGTCGTTAGCCATATATAGGGCCATCGGCCTATCGTTAGCCATATATAAGGCCATCTGCCTGTTGTTAGCCATATATAGGGCCATCTGCCTATCGTTAGTCGTATATAAGGCCATCTGCCTGTCACTAGCCATATATAGGGCCATCTGCCTGTCATTAGCCATATATAAGGCCATCTGCCTGTCGTTAGCAATATATATGGCCATCTGCCTGCCGTTAGCCATATATAGGGCCATCTGCCCATTGCTAGTCATATATAGGGCCATCTGCCTGTCGTTAGCCATATGTAAGGCCATCTGTCTATCGTTAGTCATATATAGGGCCATCTGCCTGTCGTTAGCCATACATAAGGCCATCTGCCTGTCGTTAGCCATATATAGGGCCATCTGCCCATTGCTAGTCATATATAGGGCCATCTGCCTGTGGTTAGCCATATGTAAGGCCATCTGCCTATCGTTAGCCATATATAGGGCCATCTGCCTGTCATTAGCCATATATAAGGCCATCTGCCTGTCGTTAGCCATACATAGGGCCATCTGCCTGTCGTTAGCCATATATAGGGCCATCTGCCCATTGTTAGTCATATATAGGGCCATCTGCCTGTTGTTAGCCATATATAGGGCCATCTGCCTGTCGCTAGCCATATGTAAGGCCATCTGCCTATCGTTAGTCATATATAGGGCCATCCGCCTGTCGTTAGCCATATATAGGGCCATCTGCCTGTCGTTAGCCATACATAAGGCCATCTGCCTGTCGTTAGCCATATATAAGGCCATCTGCCTATCGTTAGTCATATATAGGGCCATCTGCCTAAAGTTAGCCATACATAAGGTCATCTGCCTGTCGTTAGCCATATATAAGGCCATCTGTCTATCGTTAGTCATATATAAGACCATCTGCCTGTCGTTAGCCATATGTAGAGCCATCTGCCTGTCGTTAGCTATATATAAGGCCATCTGCCTGTCGTTAGCCATATATAGGGCCATCTGCCTGTTGTTAGCCATATACAGGGGACCTGTTGCAGACCCTGCCTTATTCATCTAATTGTGCCCCCAATAGACTGTGCCACTACCCCTGGCTCTCTCTATCTAACCCTCCATGTGATACCACATAGAATTCTCTCCACCGTGCCTGCTAACGATTTGGGGAAGCCAGAAAACTGGCTGCGTGTAGTTTGAAGAAGGGAAAACACATAAATGGGTACGAAGAGACCGCTTATTCGCAGCAATAAATCCAAATAAAATTAAAAAAATCCCCAGTTCACCAGAGTTACAGAGCTAACGAACCTTGGTTATTTTACTAGATCCTGCAAGTTGTTTGTCAAGACCCGAGAACTAGTAAATGAGCCTCACTGTAAAGTAAGTTTCTAAAGTTTCCATCTGAGGTGACGAAGGTCATGGCTTTAATTCAAGTATTGCTTGTGTGTTACTGCTTCTGAAATAATGGAGTTTTCTATAGCAATCTCAGATTTGTATGATTCATTTCTTTACAGGAAGATAAATCCTTGACTCTGTCTGCCTTGAATTTATCGCACACGAGGACTCCATCTGGCAGCGAATGCTTTTATCTGTATGTTTTGTATTATATAAAAGCTTCTTATAAACACCTGATGCATCTAAGCCTGGCCTTGGATGAGTCTTTGTTCATTTGTTGAAAATAAAACTCATCCCAGCATTGCTAGAATGAAGCTACTTAGCTTTGTATTCTGTCTGTCCACCTGTCTGTCCGACCGTCCGTCCCTCCGTCCATCTATCTTCTGTCTCTCTATTATCTATCTACCATCTGTCTGTCTGTCTATGCTTTAGCATTGTTGTACCTTGAAATATGTTTTTGACTGTCAGGATTTCAGAAACATTGATGGCTGTTGCTCCATTTGTCAAATCTAAAACATAAAGATGCAAGACTGAACACAGCTCAACACCTGAATGATGGTTAGAAGAAGGACATGAAAGGAAGAGAGGACTGAAAGCTGGTATGCCTTCCTGAAATGTAAATGTTCTTTCCCTGTAAGGGGGGAAATAGTGGTGACATGTGTAATACAGAGTGTGAGAAGAGCAATGCTTTTAGGAGAGTGAGTGTCCATAAATCCTTGTGTGTCTCTTTCAAACCACATTTATCACCTCCAAGTTCCAAGAAGGCTTTGACTTGCTGTGTAAGTGCTACAATCGATCACTTTCTTCTGTGTTTATTTTATTTGACTTGTAGAAGTTTACTTGTGAGATTCTACTTGATGTGAAAATACAGTTATTAGAAATATTTATTTCAATTCTATATTTTTTGTATTCCTCACCCAGTTTTGTGGAAATTGTCCCATTGATAAATATCCTTTTATTTTTTTGCTATTTGTGTTATAAGTGCAATTTTCTTGTAATTTTTTTCCCCATTCATTTTGGGGGTAATTTTTGGAGTTAATAATAATAATAGCAGAATACTTTTAACTAAGGAAGAGGTTCGTCAAACCAAAAATATTTATTTTTTAATCATATATGAATCCTGAACATTTAAAATGCTGTTGTTCTTTTAGCTCTATATGGTCATCTCTGCAAAATAATACCTGAAACATGTACCTGGAACAACTTCCACAGGAAATGATCTTGTATGGAAAAGATTGTATGGATATTGAGCTTGGGGACTTGTTTCTTTTACTTGTGTGTTTTTATAGTTTCTATTTACTACCTGGCTGCTGCTGGAGCGATTTGGGATACTACATGCTCTACTACAACAGGATCTAGATCCACTGGAAATGGAGACATGCCAGATTGATCTATTTATCTTGAGTGCATTCTTAATAAATTGTTCTTGTTATACTTTACATCTGCACTATTTACTTTTTTTTGCTTCTTTCAAAGTGCAAGAAGATTGCCACATTTTGGAAAAACTTCACCACTCGTGTCTTTTCCCATTGTACTTTATTACGCCATGTCTAGTTTGTGTTTCCACCAGATATCAAGATTTCTATGCTTATACCAAGGTTGTATTATTATTATCATCTCTATTCTCTTATGATTTGCTCTTGGGAGATGTCATTCCTATAGATTGCAATTCCTACTTATTCACTATTTCTGGGGTGTTTGGAAGGCACACTATTTAGTAGGGTTGCTTTACATTTTAATTTAGTGGTTATAATGTGTATGTTTTCCTATTGTCATGGATCAGTCACTGCCCAGGAATATCAAGAGGTACAAGAGATGCACGGGAACATCCTCAGTGACTAGCAACATTCGCAGTGCTCAAGAACATAATCAGGGTCCTGGAAATCCTTGGTGCCCAGGAAATTGTCAGTGACCAGTAATATTGTCAGTGACCAGTAATATCATCAGTGACCAGGAATATCGTCAGTAAAAGGAACATAGTTCCTAGGAACATACTCAATGCACAGGAACATCCTCACGGTCAGTAACCAGGAACATTATCAGTGACAAGGAACATCCCCATTGGTCAGGAATAACCTCAGTGACTAGGACCATCCTCCTAAGTGCTCAGGAACATCTTCACTGTCCACATAATCATCATCAGGGTCCAAGAACATCTTCAGTGCCGAGGAACATTGTCAGTGACAAGGAACATTGTCTGTGATCAGGAAAAATCTCAGGGTCCAGGAACTTCCTCATTAGTGCCAAAGAACATCCTCTGCGTCCAGGAATATCTTCGGTGTGCAGGAACATACTCAGGGTCCATGAACATCCTCAACTTACTTGATATGACCGAATTTAACTTTAATTCAAAACTGGTTTTGGAAAGAGCCCTATAGAGTTTAAATAACCAAAAAGCAAAACAGGAGTTCCAAGAGATACAAAATGAGACATTTCAGGTAGAGCCAAGTTTAACCAGAGGGGTATATAAAAAACTAAATTAGATTTTTGCTCTGTACCATTAGGAGTTGAGTACAAGATCGTTGGGGCAATGTGACGTATGCAAGCACACCCACACATTCGCATGCTTGATTTGGTGGCCCCGTGAGACAAGGGGTTGCTACACTCTGATCTAGTGTTCTGGTGAGATGCCTCTGTTCATGCCGAAATTTGAGAAGACAGAGACGGAACCTCTTTGGCGTTATCGGAAATAATGCGGAATTAACTGAGGTCCTCTTTTCGTCTTTTTTCTTATATGATAGTGTCCCCTTCTCAATATATATGTTCACAGCGAGGCAGTACCTGCAATACCAGCAGGGGCTTTTAAGAAGGGTAAGGAGAGTTCTACAAATTATGTTGCTCCATTTCAGGCAGGCAAAAAATATTTGAAAGGCTGAAAGGTACCTGAAAATTGCTACACACATGTTTGTGGAGCTCTTTTGCCTTTCTTTTTACTTTTTTTTTGTTCTCAATTAAGTCCTTTATTTATACTGGTTCATTATTGTGACTATACAAGACAATTTCACTACGTGTATGTGGGATTGAGGAAACAGAATAATTTTTTGTGTGTGTGTGTGTGTGTGTGCTGTGATCCCGTATTGATCTCGCAGCTGAAAAAGGAAAGATAGGAAAGGGGATAGAGGAAGTAGGAGAGAAAGAATTGGACTGCCAAATAATTTAAACAATAGTATTGCAACATTTGGAGTGCCTTACATTGAATTAAGGCTGTCTTTTTACTCTTCAAATAAAAATCAATACACGGATATATAGATTAATAATCCTACTCCCCTTCCATTGGTAAGCTCTGGACCAGAATAAAATGACTCCTAAACAGAAGGACAAAGATAGAACCTCTGAAAAAGAGAAAATCCCTTCTTCTGAAAAAGAAGAAGAAAAAAAATAGACCTATAAGCATGTTTTACTCCCCGAAATCACCTGAAAGTTATCAAAACAAACATAGAAAATCTCTCCCAGCAGACAATAAGGAGATAGCTAAGCATGGACTTCCTGAAGTTACTGGCAAGACGCATCTTTATAGTCAGATTTACTAACTACTACCTTAAAGAGAAGATAATGCAAGCGTCAAGGAAAAAAACCATCAAAAAAGGAGAGTATAAGCATATCAAACTATTCGATGACATTTCATTTGCACTGCCTCAAATCAGAAGAACTTTTGCTGAGCAAAATTTTAAGGGATAAAAACATATACATATAAAAACATATAAATATAAATGGACATTTCCCACAGCCCTACTGGTAACATTTCAGGATGTTTCTTATTTCTTTAAAGATTCTCAGGAACATCAAAAGAAGCTCTCATTATGGGGTCTCTAATAAGCTTTGTGGATATGTTCCCAGTAGTTTTTGAATGATATTTTCTTTTTCTTTTTTTTTCGGAGGGAGGAGGTACAGAAGGAATTAGTGTGATAAAACACAAAAATATTATGAGGGCACTGGTTTTTTAAATATTGGTAAAAGTTTTTGAAACTGTATCTAGATTATGGTAAACATCCACTGAAAGATGAGAAGTGATATGATATAGTGATGGGGGGACAGGGGATGGGAATGTGGGAATGACAATCATTCCTCGGATAAGAGTTTGTTGTTGCCTCCTTCTCCTCCCCTCTTCTTCCAGTTATGGAATATGAAGTTGGTTTAACTAAGATTGATGACGAAGCTAGACACATTTTTTTGTTTTAAAATGTATGCATGTAGCAATAATGTTGATTTCAAATTTTAAATAGAAAAACACTCTAGGTATTCCCACAAATAACACTGTGTGTTGAAGAGGGAGGAAATGGTTTGGGGGGTGGAGATTGTGGGTGGTAACGGTTCGAATAGATATAACAAGAATAACGGCACAGTTTTCACATAGACGGTAAAACTCACACAGCCACTTATTCAGAAATATATAACTACAGAACATATTCATAGAAAGAACGGAAAATAATGAGACGTGATGTTAGAGGGATGGGGGAGCGGAATGTGGAAAATGACGATTCTCCTGTGGCTTGGAATGGGTGCTAAGTGTATGGAGAGGATTGCCATCCCTTCCTTTTTCTCTCCTCTCCCTCCATTGAGGTGTCAATCTGTAGTCTAGTGAAGGTTTTGAGTTTTTTTTAGCTTCTGAATATCAAAAGAGACAAACATTGTGTAGTTTCCCTCTCTCGCTGGGCTCCTATTTGTCCTGCGGCGGCTGCAGGTTTAAGCATGGACTCTATTTATGCTTTGGTAGTATGGTGTGGACCTTTATCGGCAATCCCTGGAGGATTTGTCAGTGGCAGGTTAACTTGTGTGTATGGAATTCAGTATGTTTGGAGAAGGTCCTGGGGTGGGGGGTGGATGGAGTTGATGCATTTAGGCGGGTAACAGTCAGTATGTGTTATGTCTATCAATTTATTCTCTATGAATGTTGGGGGTCTGAACTCACCCCAGAAACATGGTTACTTATATGAACTATTGCAAGATAACAATGTGGACATTGCTCTAGTTCAATAGATGCATTGGCAAGAGCAGGCCTCTGCGTTGTGGAGGTTTTCTAAATACCCTTTTATGCTTTATATTTGCTGCAAATATAGAAACTCAAAAGAAAAAAAAGAGAGGGGTGGCAATTATTCTCTCAAAGAAAGTAAAATGTGAGGAACATTTTTTAGAATGGGATGAGAATGGCCGTTACCTCATTTTAATTGTAAAAATCAACTTTTTATATACATTTGTCAATTTGTACACTCCAAACCAATCTCCTATAAGATTCTTAAACAAACCTATGAATCGAATAGACAAACTGATAGTTGGCAGATTAATAATAGGGGGTGACTTTAATTGTACAATGGACCATAAATATGATAGAAATAGCCCTAAAGTTAAGATAGATTCCCAGACCTTAAATACATCTAAAATAATGCAAAATTTCCTACATAGTAACCAACTATATGACAGTTGGAGAGTGAATAACCCACTGGGATGAGATTATACTTATTTTTCCCAAGCGCTTCAAACATATTCTCGTATTGATTATATCTTGTTACACATTGAACTTTGTATTAAATACCAAAATAGGACGAACGTGGTCTGACCATGCTACCATTTTTTGTTTCTTTTAAGAACAATGTTGAATATAAGGTCAGGAACAATCGGACACTTTATGGGAGTCAAAACACACAGAAGTGGATGTGGATAAAAAGGCGCTTAAAATATTATTTAGTGTGAATTATAAAATATAGCTGCTATGTGCACTTTTAGTGAATACTCTACGAGACACTATAATTATAGAACATACAGAAAAAACAGTATCAAGTAGTGAACAAAGTGCAAAAGACCTCAAACACAGCTTGATGTAAGTGCAGCGCTAAACAGTATTATAAATTGTGATACACTTACCCCTCACAGTATATATGGGGTGTATATGTGAAAATAAACAGAAAAAACGTATATAGAGTAGTATTGTCTGATGCGTTTGAAAATATATCAAATAGATGAGAAGAATAGAACTCACATTTGAGAGAGCCTTTTATGAGGATATAGGCTCTAAACACAACAGCTTCTTTGCCTTTAAAGGTAGGCAATAAGACCTTAAAAACAGGAGCGTTCTTCCTTTCTTTTCGCTGGTAAATTATATCTCCAAATAAAACATAGAAAAAGATTCCTTGGTGCAGATGGTATGAGCAAATAATAAAACAATCAGATTAAATGAATAAGCTCAATTGCTCACCTTATTTAGAGCCTTTTAAACTGGCTCTAAGTATTTTAGGTATGGATGTCAATAACCAGATGACACTTCTCCCTTATGGATACCACAGAAATGGAGAGGAGATAGAGTAAGGATAACTAACAAAATAATTTATTGATACATAAAATAAACATAAATAAAATATACATATGTATAATAAAAAAGGAATCCTCTCTCTCCTCTATCCAGAAACGTGTTTCGCCGTCCTTTTCGGCTTCCTCAGTCTGTATTTATGGGTATCCTTAGTGTCAGATTTTATATCCTCCTTTTTTGCGCCTTTTTCGGCCATCATGACGTCACCTCCGGTTTAGCGTCATGACGTCACTTCCGGTTTGGCGCTGTGACGTCACTTCCGGGTCGGCTCGAAACTGCCGATACATCACTTCCGGGTTCACAATTCCTACTACAATTCCCAACATGCTCCACTACTCTTTATAAATTGTACGATTCAATTTCCATATTTGTCACATTTTGCATAATGTATGAAATAAAAAAGTCCATCTTAATAGCTCA